GCCCTTTCCCAAAAATTGTTGCCAATATCATTTACGTGTCGAATTCCTTCCTTCCATTTCAGACAAACATACAGAAATACTGCTATTACACTTCCATAACGTCGGACATTCCGATGATTAACTCCTTTGGATCTTACACGCCCCAATCATCCACCCTCCTCAACCCAGGGCACCCGATCCCCTCCACATCCGCCGGCGACGAAAACTTGGTCTCGACAAATACCTTCTCGACGTTGTCGAGCCTTTTATCGAAAGCGTTGTACAGCTTCGCCATATCTTCGAGGGGTACTCGATGGGTGATCATGCTGTAGAGAGTGTGAGTGACCGTGTGCCTTGAAGGGTGAACAGTAGATACGTACAATGTAGGATCAAACTTCTTCGTCTTGATATAATCATTCAATATCTCTTCCCAGTATAGATGAACGGGTGCTTGTCCGTTTCCGATTAATCTAGATGTAAGTGAAGTATGAGCCATGTAAACAGATGCGGACGCAGACAAGTAGAGGGACTGCACTCACCTAACACCCTTCTCCATCAACGCACCAACGTTGACACCATTCGCAAACCCAGCATATGCGGCGATGATACCACAGCTACCCTGTTTTCGCACAGAGACAATCATCTCGTTTATGGTTTCCGGTACGTCAGTCTCAAGCATAAGGGCTTTCTGAGCTTTGTGGAGTAACGTCTTAGGTTCGTGGAATGTTCCTACCAAGCGAAAAGTGGGGTGAGATCAACGAGGTAATGGGGGGCCAGAGATGATGCGTACCACAATCCAAGGCAACATCCAACCCTCTCGGTACGAGCTCGTATATCCGCTTGGGTATGTCGGTGTGTTCACGGAAGTCGATAGTCTCGATGCCCGACTTCTCACGCGCGAAGGCCAATCTTGAAGGTACGCTGTCGATACCGATGACACGGGAAGCTCCTTTCAGCAATGCCCATCGAGCCGCACACTGACCTATCGGCCCAAGACCCTACCCAATGATAGTATCATGTAAGTCAAGACTCCCGAAAGGAAGGACGACAGGGAACGTACCCAAATGCCGACAACATCGCCTTTCTTCACTCCAGTGTCGACAACGGCGTGATAACTGGTGGGGAGGACATCGGACAGATATAGTGCACGCTCATCCGACACGTCGTCTGGTATAGGGAGGAGGTTGACGTTGCCAAAAGGTACCCTAACGTATTCTGCCTGACCACCGGGGAATCCTCCGGTGAAGTGAGAGTATCCGAAGAACCCTGCGTCACGTTGACCGTACATGTAATTCTGGAGTCTAAAATCGTGTTGATTGTCAGATAGAGCCATCGACTGTGAGAAGGAGACGTACGAGGAGTTGTTGGTCCGATCGCAGAAGGATGACAGTTTCTTCTGACAGTACTCGCATGTTCCGCAGGCAACTTGGAACGATGCGACGACTCGTTGTCCAATCTTGAGGTTCTTCACATTCGGCCCGAGTTTGTAAACTTTGCCCATAAACTGTGTATCGATCAGGGATACTGTGACTAAGTTCACCAGAATAAGTTGCTCACTTCGTGACCAAGGATATCTCCTTCTTGCAGCGCCATTATTTCTCCGTGGTATCTGAAAACAATGCGTAAACCTCTGGTCCGTAGCTAGCAAGGAGAAGGGTTTCACAGATGCAGGTCGGACCCACAGATCGTCGAACCAGTCACTTGTAGGATAACGTCGTCGGGCTCTGTGATATCCGGAACTGGTGCATCGATCACTCGAACGTCTTTGGTTCCGAACCATGCTAGAGCTCTCATTTTCTCTCCTCCGGGAGCCTCTTTGTATTCCGGATGGATTTCTGTGGGCACAGTACCCAGTTTCTGTGTTTGAATGTCACTCATTTGAGCTAGGCCGTTGCAAGGATGTTTGAACGCACCTCCTGGAATTTGTTAGCTGCAGCTTGCATATTGTTGTTCAAAGTTGGACTATTACCGACCGCGATGGCTCTGTAATTTATAGGATTATTAGGAGAGGAAGAACATGATGCTAATTATGACGTACGGGTAAAGGGGAGGATTCTTAGCTTGTATGATGCAGCATGGAATGTCATGGAGTGTTTGAATCGTGGAGAAGTGAGCGTCTGGAATAAACTTGTTGATCTCCGCACGTCATTATTCTCTTGGATGACCTCGTGAGCTTCGTGCAGCAGTGTGCTCGGTGGGGTAGCCTGAGCTGGGAACATATAACCGTTGTCTGACTCAGATCCAGAAAATAGTTCTGTATGAAGATGGGAAACTTCGCAACATTGGGAGATTTTCTCTATTACCGTCTGGGATTGTAGGCTGTTCACAGGGCGAAGCAACTGAATGTCAGGTTCGAGTTGGGCTGTGAATCAGAAGTTGTGGGTGTACGGCGTGTCGGTGATTCGAGACGAAGGAAAGCACATTGGTTGGCAAGAATGAAGTTCAGATAAGTTATATTCGCTCGTAGATTGCTTGTAACAGGTCTCGGGCCTCATGATAGAGTACATTCTGTTGGCCATGATGAGAAATCGAAGCAGTCTCTTCATTTAGGACACAGGAAACAACTCACACTTGTCGTACAAATATCTTGGTCCTTCACCGCGTCAACCTTCCATGAGCCTTGTACGCGTCGATATTAGGGGCTCCGAGGGGTAAGAGTCAAGACTGAGAGAGAGCTAGAGGCAAGCTCAACATCGTGCTGAGAGTTCACGCGTTCACGTAGAGTCGCGTCATCGGGGTCCCGGATCAGACAGTTGCACAGCCCCATCGGTCCACTGCTTTGTGCACCGTACGGCGCACGGACCACATCTCTCTTGACACGCTTCTCTCACCCCCTATCCTTTACTGACGACGCTTGAGGCTAAAGGCCTCAGTACTCGGTACTCAGTGGACACGTACCCTCCAGCCATGTTAAAAAGGAGTCGGCTAAATTTCGAAACAACGATTCAAATCGCCGGTTAAATTGAAGAGATCCAAAATTCAAACAAGCTTGGGTGACAGCCTTGGCTCGCTACTGTGGTGGTTGCTCCTCAATCAATAGCCTTCGACAAAGTTGGAACATCAAGATATTTTGGTGGTCCTGTTGCTTTGTGTCAGCAAAGGTTCTCAGGTCCGACTTACAGCTGTCAAGGAGCAGATCACACAACCACTCAAATTCTACTCGCTCACTAGATGCTCAGAACGTCGACAAGGCCTAGCCTGCTTCATCAACACCAAGCGTAGCAACTGGCGATACGTGGGAGCACTGACCGCCACCCACGAGTGATCTTCGTAAATGTCATCCGTCGACCATTCAGCACAATCAATTCATCTTCCCGGTTGTCACCCTCCCAAACGACTTCACAACCTGGCAGTGCAGTGGCTCGGTACAAAGGGTACGCATAAGGACCGCCAGATCAAAGCGGTGAAAAAGTCCTCGGACGACTGAGTTGCTACTGGGACAGGTCACGCTCGTATCAAGCTAGATGGGGCGCGAACTGATGGATCTGCGTCTAGAATACAAGCCATGCCAGTGTCTCCGTGTATAGATTCATGGGGGCAACGTATAGGCAACGGTAGCCCGTGTTCAGGTTCACCCTCCTTCTGCGACTTCCCCCTTGTTTTTCATCGGCCCAGTCTCCGAGAGACTGAGTAGCCCTTTCCTTACGTTCTAAAATTTAGGTTTATTCATCTAGTCTCCGGTCGACCATGATTGCGCCAATGACTATCTTCATTTCCCTTTTGGTTCTAGCCGTTTCCGAGGGTAAGTTGGGGTTCCGAGTGTCTTTCATTTAATATTCTGACAGTTGTTTCCCTCCAGCGGTTATCGCGGAGTCAAAGCCAGCCTCCGAATCCTTCGAGAATTCGCTACTTCGATTGAGTAGTCTGAAGTCGAGTCGTCAACGAAAAGCCCAAGCCAAACGTTTACCTTCTCCGGACTACTCTCGAGCTCCAGAATGCAAGTCCACCTGCGAGAACGCCGTCATGAGTAACGAGGTGCGTTCCTGGCATCTGCTGGCTGGAGGTTTTCGAGTACTGACTTGTCCTGATCTAGTCCTGTGGTTCGGACTCGAAATGCTTGTGCAACCAGAAGCTCATCGACTCACTGGTGAAATGCCTCGACTGTGTAGGTACACGCGAGGTTCAGGACAAGGAGAAAGCTCAGGAATATCTCGATTGTGAGATGCCCTTTCTTCGGCCTCGCTGGACAAGCTGAAGTACTGATTTGACCACCTTTATCGAAGCTTATGTGATGAAATGCTTACTGAACGACGTCCCAGTTGACCATCGAACCATTCACGTCACTAAAATGGGGGGTCATCATACTTCGACCTCTACTTCCTGCACAACCTCATCCACTTCGTCCACCGAATCGAGTTCGACACCTTGCACGACCTCGACCACCAGTATGCACGATTCCTCCCCCTCGTCAACCTCGTGTACCACGACCTCCACCAAGGCTGAATACCCCATGTATCCTGCCAGTTCGATCACAATGTATTCGGGGACTCCTACTGGCGATGGCAACGAGCCTCCCGCCTCTACAGACTCCCCCGACAAGTCGGAGGGTGGAGAGTCAGGATCGCAAACTGAAACTTCTGCTTCTGGTGAATCTAGTGCTACCAGCGGCGCTTCACTTCCAGTCAGCAGCGATGGTAGTAGTACGACTGGAAGCACCGACTCTCCGCTGGCATCGAGCACATCCGCGCCTCCTTCCAATGATCCAGGTAACCCGACTTCGGAAGCTGCACAAGGGAATGGCTCGCTGTCGATGCACAGTCCAATGATGGGTATTCGTATCGTAGTAACATTGATAGTTGTTGGGATGAGTCTCCTGATGTTTAGTTTGTTCTTTGGGTTGTAGGGGAGGAGAGAGCGCATATCTATGAGTTCATGGTGAATCTGTATACATAGTGTACGTAGTTTTGCTGTACTGGATTCCAGGCGTATTGTCGGTACCCTCTCACGATTCGTTATCGTGTTCGTGACCATGAATTCCTGTCGTCAGTGAGAGAAATAAACGCAGGAAGCGCAAAAACTTTCGTCACCTGTGCGATTCGAACACACGCGCTCAAAGAGCAACCGCTAGATGCTACTGTGCAGAATCTAGAGATCTGTCTTATAGCAGGCGATCCCGTTAACCACTCCGGCAAAGTGACCTCGGAATGTCGGCCAAATATCGTCATCTATGAGACGCCGTTCCCTAAGACAACTACTACTGTATCTTGTTGGTGCAGACCTGACCCTCATATAAGTACCGGGACACACGGTTGGGCAGACGGAGACATGTATATGTACTCATCACGCCAGGTGCTTGGCAACCTTACGCCTCCCGATTGTTGAGGCGAAGATCTCTTACCTGAGCGTCTGCAAGGATTACTGGCCGATTCGTGAATGATTCCGGTCGACAGGATGAAGATAGCCTTGTGTAGATGTTGTCGATATTTTTGAGTAGCTTTTCATTGTGCTCCGGGTGCGTGCTTCTGCTTCGATCTCGGATCGACATTCCTGGGGCTCTTTGTTTGAAGGACTTGCAAATACAAACTATCGACTTCAACGGGAGCGTCCTTTCAGCGTAATGATAGCTGGTACCCTTTGGTGGTGAGGAAGACGGGGCCTTCTCTCTTACTCACGAGGATTGTGGCCCTGCACTATCAGGTCACTTTGCCGGAGTGGTTAACGGGATCGCCTGCTATCCCTCTCAAGAGTCGTATTGAGCGGTTGCTCTTTGAGCGCGTGTGTTCGAATCGCACAGGTGACGAGAAATTTTGGTTGTTGTACTACATGTTTTTTTATCTTTACCTTCGACGCGTCGTATCCAAAAAAACTTCGCCGAAGAGGTTTAATAGCCCACCGCGAGGGTCGAACTCGCAGCCTTCAGATACCCGCTCATAAGAGTCTGACGCTCTATCCGATTGAGCTAGGCGGGCAGTGATCGGATCATTCTTTTCCAGTACATCAGGTAATTGCAGCCTGAGACCGGATGTACTGTACAACCACACGATTGACTCGGAGCTTTCTCTCAGGCACTCTTGTCTACAAACCGCAGCCTCCCTTCCGAAGCCGGACATCTCCCCTCCGATTTTCTTCGCTCGATGCAGTCCAAATCGTCACGCATTCTACCGTTCCAATGTTTCACAGACTCTGGCAAGCAACGGGCTCAAGTACGTAGAATGGAACGATCGCTTTGAACATGTCAAGCTCACCCAAGGCGATCTTTTCCTCGCTATGAGGTTTTGAACTGGAGATTGGAGTCGAACCGAACCAAAATCAGGCACGAAGTAGGCAAAAATGAAAGCATCACTGAGATCCCTGTCTACCCGCCTGATGAATGCGCCTGTCATTGAAGCCAGGGCCCCCATACACGGCAACCCCAAAATTTCTGGTCGATTTATAGACTGACAACCTCGTTTATTACACAACAGGTCCAGCTCGGCCTGAGCTTTCGGGACACTTGGTGCAGAACTCGGAATATGAGAGATGGAATTCGAACCCTCTGAAGTTGCTACAACTGGAACCTGCAACATCAAAATCCACCCTTATGGATCCTCTTCGTGCTGCCGCCGTGATCTTTATCATGCTACCATTCACCAGACCTTGATGAACCGCGCCCGATACAGATGCCATCGTCGTAAGCAGGACAATAAGGAACCTCGCCTTCGTAAGACAGGATATTGTTGCTCCAGACCCAGTCTCGTGCAGGTACGAGAGTTCTTTGATTACTTGACTCTCGTAACCTCGGTCCCTGCCCTAAAACTCGATTGTGAGGATTACAGCACAATCCGGGGCCCTCAGTCCTGGGCAACCCAGTGCACCCCTCTGCGTCGACCACATGGGAAGCCATTTGTGTCTTCAAACGTCGTTCTCTCACGTCAAAATCGATTCACAATCGCATGAACTGAATACCCGCCCAAATTTACTTTCGTTCCAGGTGAATCGTGCCCCTGAGGGTTTTGATGTAATATTTTTGTACGTTTGGGTGTGCCTTTATCCAAGCAAATATTCATGATGCACAGCGACGTGTTGCCAATAGGACAGTTTCAGATACAGTACAATAGGTGTTCGTCATCGGGGAGACCGAATTCATACGACTACTTGTAACAAAAGTTTGGCGACGTGGAGAAGCAGCACAGCTCCCCGCCTGGGACGGGCTGGACCTGGCAAGCTAGACAAATTGGTTCACAATCAGCACCATTCTGTGTCGAGGCAAGTGGTGACTTTCAACTCACTTCCGTGTGCGACTGGTTGACTATCCACCTGATAGGTACATTTATCCCCCTCATATTTGCCCTTGCACGCATTCTTGGCGATTTGAGCTGCAATGATAGGTTAGGTCGGTCGGACATTCTTGATAGCGATTGAAACGTACGAGGGCTCTGAGCCGCCACCAACGCGACGAGAACGAAGATAGGGGTGAAGGATCTCATGATTAGAGTGTATGAGTCTATTTCCCCAGCTTTCAACGTCCTTTTTATACTCATACCCTGTCTCAGGGTCAGATCAGGTCTAGCGAGAGCGTCCCGTTGTCGGTGAAATGAAACCTCCTCACGTATGTGGTTTGTATGTAGTGCCAATGCTATCCCGAATACCCCTAGCAGGGCGGCTTTGCGTAAAAATGGAGGGTTTATTAGGGGGCGGGAAGGTCAATCCGGCTGGCGGGATGCACGGAAGATCAACTATGTAGCTGTCTATCGCTTTGATTTCCGGACAATCTACTTAAGAGACTAGGCACTTTACGAGAAGACAGGGATTTGAGGCAGCTCTCGACAAAATTGGGCCTGAGAACTCCTTGCGTTAGACTCGGAATTTGTTCAAGTTTGACGCCAGTCGAGACTTCTCATAAAGGTTTTGACTAAGGTAACTTATCACTTCGCGAATTATCCCTTTCGATTACTTGAATATCTTTGTACATTCCTGATAACACGTATCTACAGACCAATTAGCACTCTTCGTACACATATCCCGAGGATCCTCTCGGGACGACCAAGACGTCCCTGAAGATCACCGAAATTTGACTTCCACGCGCAGTACAGGCTGCCGTGAAGTTCCCTCGTCCGTTGTTGGGAGCCTCGGGATCGACGTACTCAACCTCAAGGACCTGGTTTCCATACACATCGGTGTAGGATTCACACTCTTCGAAGGCCTGGCATTCTTCCGCGATGGCAAAATCGAAACCAACTCTCGCCTTTCCTCTGCCTTCCAACTCGCCACCAGCATTCTTCTGACCAAAGGCCAGCTCGACTCCAGCCGCGTGTGCGTGATCAGCAAGAAGTTTGGCGTAGTCTAAGTTGTTGTTCTCGGAAAGGAGGTTGTCGGACCGGGTGAACGTGTCCAGGTTGTCGGGCTCGATGGCGTTGAAACCTTTCTGTTTGCACTCGTCAATCCATCCGTTGACAATATTGGCAAGCGCCTGCCGTTTGTCGGCCGTCCTGGTGTCGAAATAGTATTCGCCTGGCCAGTCCTCATCTTCGTAGGGCTGACCAGCGGAGTTCTTGAGAATGAGGTTGTTTCTCGTGGGGTCTAGGAAGTTTGAAGTGAGTAAAGCGTGGAGACTGAATAGAATGATGGGGCGATCTTACCATTGAGCCAAAAGTCGTGCGACGCTTGATCTGGCTGCGATTGGAACGCATTGATGTAGCAAATGTTGTATTTCCCGGAAACTGGAGTCGAAGTACGATCCCGAGTGACGACGGCAACATTGCTGTCGGGAGTGTACGGTCCTCCAATTTGGTAGTCCCACTTTCCGTTGGCGGGAAGAGGAGTAACCGCACGCTTCACGGACACGGCATTGGACGTAGCCGCGAGCAGAGAACCGGCGATGAGGAGGAAAGTAGACGAGATCATAGCGCGATGAGTAAAGTAACTTGCAGACGAGAGCAGTTGCTTGGGATACGTTCGAGCGACCCGGGTACCTTTTATACCTTTCAAGAAGTAGGGACAGAGTGCACACCTTCGGGAGTATGTCGGAAGGAGTTGAACGCCTCCGTTGTGAATGCCCTCCAGCCCGCGCACCATGTTTCAGCTTACATTCATGACTGTAAGCATCACTTGGAAGTTACAATCACGAGGCTCTGAGCGGTGTATTGGGCATACCATACGGGGGACTTTTCTATCTCAAGCCCCGGGGCCCGCTGGTTGTTAGCGTTTGAACCCTAGAATGGATCAACTTGCAAGCAGTTGAACACCATGCGAGCATCACAAGGTTGGTGTAAAAAGTCATTGTTGCGTGCCGTCAGAGGCGAATGATGACCAAGTTGTTGAAAGGAACACAAGCAATTTGTTCCTCGTAGCCATTGATTTCGGGGGCTGTTCGGGAGGGGCAGTGTGAGCTATGGCTGCGAACTTGAATTAGAAATTCAAAATTTCAGGAGTACAAAACGAAATACCAAGCATAAAATTGCGCCTCTAAGTCAGTATGGCTCTCTCAGCCAGCCAGAGTGGGTCTGGGTCCATTGGGCTAGCTCGTCTTGGGCTCCAGTACTGCAAGTAATAACGCGTATGGCTCTAGAATAACTGATTCGGGAGCCGTTCTCAAGTTGCCAGATGGCCGACTCCGTTCAGCACCGTTCAGGGCTGGAACGGGATATAGACTCGTGGGTTATGGAATTGGGGACCCATCTTTAGCCCGCATTTGATGGGGGTAGATACTAGAGGTGCCCCAGATTCAAGAATTCGGGGACAAGTCGACGAGCCGAACTCGGAGGTAAAATTTGACTGGGGACATCCTATAGCCCACCGCGAGGGTCGAACTCGCAGCCTTCAGATACCCGCATGTAAGAGTCTGACGCTCTATCCGATTGAGCTAGGCGGGCGATGAGAGGTAAAGAACGGAAGAAGGTTATGGAGGAGAGAGGAAATTCGTGCCTGAACATTTCGAATTCAAAGGCTCATGGAAGTGACGGTCACAATCAAGTCACAACGACTCTCATCACACCCTTCCTCCATGTACTCACCTGGACCCACCCTCACCACTTCCGTCTCTACCTGTCTCTATCCATCTCACTACTGATTTACTTCACCGCTGGGCGGGGCACCTGCGATTGAACTGTCCAAGACATTCTTGACTGGCATGGTCAGATTGCGCCCAGTCAACGACTCAGTTTGTGAGTTCTTCCCCGATGATTGACTCAGAGGTTGCTCTTGTTCACTCAACAATCTTCATTGGTAGCTCGTGTCAATACTGTGTCAATGCTTTAGTTTCAGTATACACGGCTGCTCATCCTCACCGTCGCCGACTTGAGCCTTGTCACTTGTGTCGGCAACGCTATGTCACATTGAAATTCATCCTCAATTGTGAGTCTTGTCCCAACGTTTCTTTCGTCCGAAATGTCCAATTCCTCTCTCTCGACTCACTAGCTCCAGGAATACTTACGATCATTCACGAAGGCACAAAGATGCGTCATTTCGTCAGGATAGTGAGCAATATCAGCATGTTTACAATCAGTTTTCAGTACGACTGATAGAGCGAACAGATCGGTGAGCATCTATATAATGTGCTTCACTCTCATCACTCACCAGAAAACGCTTAGGAAGTTACTGCGTATATAACCCGACCTGATCGGGAAACCGCCATCACCTTATGTGGAGTATCGCACTGCAGAGGTTGTACATTGTGGTATAAAAATAGAGGTGCGACTCTCGAAGGCCTCATCCTCGAGGCACAATAGCTTACAGGAAGTTCTCATGTCCGAACAGAAAGCCCTAGTTCTCCCAACCTCATCGTCTCCCTACACCATCATCTCCAAGCCAATCCCCGTGCCAGGTACAAACGAGGTCCTTGTCAAGCTGGAAGCGGTTGGATTGAAGCCTTCAGAATGGAAAATCACCGAGTACCCACAAATTTTGGATCTAATGGGGTCTCCTGTCTATACGGGAACCGATGGCGCGGGAGTGGTAGAAGCTGTCGGGGAGGAAGTGGCTCAGCTGAAGA